GAAGCCATGCTTGTTCAACAACGAACCGGAAATCAGGTTTTTGCGTATCTCCGGAACGAACAACACTTGGTTTAGAGTCAGCTCCTTGCCCGAAGTCATCTTCAGGACCACTTTGCCCACGCCTTCCACCGCGGAATGAGCAGAATTTCCCATCCACACCTTTTCACCATTTGATGGCTCAAAAGTCGTGAATAGCTCCCGGTATGAGCAAATATGCCGGGTAGCACCGGTGTCCACGAACCACTCCTTGGAATTGGATCCAACGAGGTTAACCTCGGTCACCACAGCCGCAAGGATGATGTCTTCATCCTTTTGCCCACCTTGCACCAAGTTCACGTGAGAATCTTTCTTCTTCCTTGGTGCCTTGCAATCCGAGGACTTGTGTCCATTCTTGTTGCAATTGAAGCATTTTCCGTTGAACTTTGTCTTGGAAACGCCTCCCTTGGGACCGAGCTTGCTCTTCCCATTATTTTTATTTTTGGAGCCTTTAGCATGCTCCACCACGTTGGCCTTGGCGCCATGAACAATTGGGAGTTTCCCATCGTTCTTCCGGTTATCCTCTTCAATCCGCAGACGGAGGATCAATTGCTTCAAGTTCATTTCCTTTCGCTTATGCTTAAGGTAGTTCTTGAAATCCTTCCAAGCCGGCGGCAATAAGTGAATAATTGACGCCACTTGGAATGACTCACTAACCGTCATTCCTTCATCTCGAATTTCGTTGAAGATCATTTGCATCTCCTCAACTTGACTCAAGACCGTCTTCGAATCCACCATTTTAAAATCAAGGAATCGACCAACAACAAATTTCTTTGCGCCGGCATCCTCGCTTTTATATTTGTGGTCCAAAGCATTCCATAGCTCCTTAGCCGTAGCTAATTTGCTATACACGTCGTACAAAGCATCATGCAGCCCGTTCAACACGTAGTTTCGGCAAAGGAAGTCCGAATGCTTCCAAGCTTCAACCGCGTTGAAAGATTGCACATCCACCTCACCCCCGGTTGCTACCGGCGCATCTTCGGTCAAGAATCTAGCAAGACCGAGAGTAGTGAGGTAAAATAGCATCTTTTGCTGCCACCTCTTGAAGTTTAACCCGTTGAATTTCTCGGGTTTCTCCACAGAGTTGCTTGGCACGGTCACCATAGGGATAGCCCTTTGGTTGGCCAAAGTAGATGCACCGCGTTGTGAACCATTGTTCACCGGTGCTCCACTTTCAGAGTGATTGTCGTTCAGAACATTCTGTCCAACACCAATCTCGTTTTCTTGAGAAGTCATTTTCGTTCTTTAACGTTTTTCCGAAAACACAAATAAAATAAGTTCGTTCACCAAAGTGACAAACTACGTTTAAGATTGTTTACCGGAGTAGAACAATCAACAAATACGTTTTAAGATTGTTGGGTGTGTTTCGGAAAATAAAGAAAATTAATTAAAATAAATTAATTAAATAAAATGACTAAAGAAAAACAGGAAAGGAGATGAAGCAGAATTAGTCAAAGCTCGTGCTACGCACGATTTCCTTAAAACGTATTTGTTGCCTCCCACGGTGCTAGGAGCGTTGCAACAATCGTTTCCCAGGATACGATGACTACGAACTAATGTTTGAGCACACAAACAAGAGTTCCAGCGAACGAGAACCAAGTATGAACACAGAAGGAAGTTTGCTGAGTAGCTTTAGGTGTTTTTAGCTCAAGAAATTCGTGAGGAATGTATTGTGCGTTTTTTGTTGTTGCAAACCACCTGCCAGCTATTTATAGGAGGATTTGTTGTGTGTTAAATGGGGTGTCAATGGACCTGAACGTTGGACTTCAATGACCAGTCCGTTGGGCATTGAATCATCCATAAACTGTCCATTTAACGTTGCATTAAAAGACAAGAACGTTGGGCATTTAATGGTTGTAACGGCTTGGAGCAGTTCTGGTGCGCGATCAGAATACCCCCACCAGAGTTGGAGCAGTTCTGATGCTACCAGAAGACCTCCACGAGAGTTGGAGCAACTCTGATGCGAAGCCACCAGAGTTCGAGCTTCTGGTCCGAAGCCACCAGAGTTCGAGCAACTCTGATCCGAAGCCACCAGAGTTCGAGCAACTCTGATCCTGGGAAAAAATTAAAACGTTACGGGAAGAAACAAAACTTAGACCGTATCTTTGAATGATAGGTTTTCGGACGACATTCGTGTCCGCAGGTCGCCCGCGCACACGAGTCGCGGTTTTTCTTCTCTGTTTCGGGATTTGATCGGCACCCCCCCCCTGCGCGTAAGAGAAAGCCTTTCCCTCTAGGAATCTTAACTCCTTAAAAGAGGCTTCCCTTTATAAGGGGGTGAAAATCCCTTGAGTTTTTCGGTGTGGGATAAAACACACTAGAAACTCACCATTTTCCCAGTTTTTCCATTTCAACGAGTGAACTTCGAGAATCAATTTCTCATTCACCCGTTATCCGTTTTGAGTGTACCATATATCGAATTGTAGCCCTTAACAAGGACAATCCGAAACCACTTTGACCCGACCCAAATCGGAAGTGGACCCCACTCAAATAATTGCCCCAAAAAGACCATTTAATGCAATTTTAACACATTTTTCCAACACTTTTTGCAAACCAATATCTATGCACAAACATTAGTTGTTTGAAAGACACAAAAAAAGTTTGTATACATGCAAATAATGTGTGTGTATGTATAGGCACTTGTTTGAATTTATTTATAGATATAGAAATTTACTTCGTTTTCAATTTGTATTTTTCTTTTACACAATTTATATCAACATTTAGGACGACACGGACAATAACCCTGATGACTACGCCTCTTCAATTTTCCGATGACTTTGAAACTTCAATAACTTTCTCGATCTTGAAAGATAATATGGGTACAGCTAGAGAAGATGAAAGTATAATGAGAAAGATGAAGGATGACTATTATAATAAAGAAGAAAGATGAAAAATGAGTTGAGAGAAAATAGAGAAAAATTGATGGGGGGAGAAGAACATATGGTGGAGGAGAAGTGGGGGAGAGATGTGACAAGAGATGTGTATTATGGTAAAAAAAAAGTAAAAATTTAATCCTTATATAGGGTGTACACAAATGTGTAACCCAATGTGTACAAATGACAAAATTCTACAATATTTGCTAGGATTCGGACTTAGGTGCAATCTCATCTCACTCATACCGTGAATGTACTCTTGAAATTTATAATACTACAACATTAATTTACAATATGATACATTAAACATTAATTTTACCATTATTATATTGGGGTTTTTACCTTAATATTACTTAAGTAAGGACAATTTCCAAAAATGTGACCACATTATCATTAGGACAAAAATGTGACTAAGAGTGTCATATTAATGTCATTGTAAGATTTTAATGTCACTGTCCAGTTTTAATGTCAATATCAAATGTCACTGCCACTGCCGGTGTCACTGTAGCCACCGCTCGTGTCACTGTAGCCACCGCCCGTATCACTGTAGCCACCGTTCGTGTCACTCTAGCCACCGTCCGTGTCATTGTAGTCACCGTCCGTGTCACTGTAGCCACCGTCGACGTGTCATCATAGCCACCGCCCGTGTCACTATATCACCACCAGACCATCCACCGCCAGCCACCACCACTCTCCACCATCGCAGGTACCCTACGCCGCCCCTCTCCGGTAGCCAACCTCACCAAGCCGTCTACAACCCCACCCATGTCACCCCCCGCTGCACAGTACCAACCGGAAACCGCCGCCGCCCTAAACAGTGACCCCACAAGCCCCCTCCCCTGCCCCCACCGGCCAGAAGCCGATTCTTCAGCCCGAGCCTGAGCTCAAATTCATCCCCTACGCAAAACAACTTTGACCAGATCTGTCCACCTCCCCATCCCCTGGCCGCTAACAGCGACCGGTGACCAGATGTGTACACCTCCCCATCCCCTGGCCGCCAGCGGCAACCGTTGATCAGACCTTCTCCCAAATTCGCGCCGACGCCAGATCTGTTGCAACCATCAACGTCCAGATCTGCGAAGCCCTTGTTGTCTATTGCAACTTGCATCCTCGTGGATTCCCAACCGTCTCCGTCGGATTTAAATTACACATCAATCAACTTGCAAGCTTCTCTGCTCATGGAGAAGGAGAAGAAAATTCGGTCTGTGATTTCGGCGGTCAAACGACTGCGGTGGTGGAATTGTTGTGGCGGTCGAGCAAGGGAAAACATGTGTGCTGGAATGGTGAGAAAGAGGGCATGGTGGCTTGGTGAGGGACTGAGGTCTGCTCCTCTCCTCAGCAAGGGAGATGCCCGTAAGCCATGTTTTTTGGGGAAACTAAAAATGCTCATATTTTGGAAACTAAAACATGAGCAATAATCATGCCATTTATTCTATTATATTACCACAACTATTATTATTATAACTTCTATTATTATCATGATTTTTCTTAAAATATCACTAACATAAAACAAGGACAAAAAATGTGACTAAAGTGACTATGAGTACACTTTTATGATTACTCTAATTGTAAAATTCGAATATAATTTTCGTAACTAAAATAACTAAGTCACATTTTATTCACTATCCTTGTTTGGTCATATATTAATTAGATACTATTTCTATTATTAATATACTTGTTTCATCATCCAGATACTTGTCTAGTTCGACTTTTTGTAGCAAGCATAATTACAACTGTTATTTTTAATTTTTGAAACTCCAGAAGAATACTTTTGTTATAAAATTGAATTGTATAATTGTTTTGCATGATTTATCTAATATCACATTCATATACTACCTAATAGTTCTAGAAAAATCAAATAACTCGTAAAATTTCAAAACGCCTTTTCACGCCTATCCGACACATAAACTCACCTAAGCTTCAATGGCTTAAAACTTGGTTGTGCCGCCTTGACACGCCTTGCGGCTTTTAGAACATTGATTATATTATCTTGCCCAATGGGAGGGTTCTGCCTATTGCCCAAGATTAAAAATTCCTACATAAAGGTTATGTATTACTCAATGTTTGTGTACCATATAAATGCAGGCACAAATTAAAGAAAAAATATGCAAATAATTCCTTGTTTAGTTGTATGACTCAAGATGAGTAAAAGAATTTAAAGGGTTTTAGCATCGCAGACTAATACAGAGTGACAATGCCCCGACCTAATAATATAGTAAAACTAACAAAAGAAACCAACCAATTTGTAATTAATCCCAATAAAATCCCTAAGCATTTGGGTAGGGTGGACTATAACTTTTAGACAATGAACATCCTATCTAATTATCTAATTAAATAGCTAAGTAGAAGGAACTAAGGAAGTAAACGAGAGACTGAGACAATGGTAAGGTGAAGAGGAAGAGCAGACAACTTCGGATGTTTTGCCAGCAAGATTATTCCAAGTGCAACAGATTCCCACCAATGTTTTGAGCAACGACAACTTCGGATGTTTCGAGAATATCAGTAGTTAAGTCAGCAAGCCCCCTAATTCGAAATTCCTTCCAAACTCGGTGTGCCCTGAACTTATCAGACAAAACCCAAAGAGAAAGTGTTCCTTGCAGCATTAGCAATGCTATTTCCCCAGTTGAAGTAGCAGTAATAAAAGTCTTGGAAAATGATAAACTGTCTGCCTCCGGAGTCCCTTCCTCTAATGGGATGGGGAAAGCATACTTCCTCCAGCAAGATGTCTCCATGCTCCAAGCAATAACCTGCTTGTTCTGGTTGACATACATGAAAGCAAACTGCCCGTCCAATTCTACCCACGAGGCTTTTTCGAAATATTTGTGTGTTCTTGCAGGAAGCGTTATCCGGTGGAAACTCTCGGACCTAACATCGAACGCCACCAGCTCGTAGCATCCGTCAAACGGATGCTCGTACTTGCCCCAACGACAATGCAGCGCATTGTAGAAATAGACCACGCCTTTAATGCAAACACTATTCGTGAAACGTCTGCTAAGGTAAAACAATACAGGGCTCTCAATCTCCCGCCATGTTTCGTCCACGCCCAGTGTGAGCACCCAGTACTTCACTGTCCTCAAGTTAGAGCTAGGGTCCGCTTTCAAAACCTTGTATGTTCCCGAAACGTCGTCGTAACCCAACAGCGCACAAGAACGCCCCCTGCTGGACGGAGTTGTGGGGAGAGTAGTATGTTTCCCTGTGATAAGGTTAAAAACAATCAATTCGGAATGCTTATAAAAGAAACATATTTGATCTTTGGCAAAAGACATAGATCTGCCATATTGGAACCATCCTTTGTCCGTATCCCTAACAATTTTTGCTTGAAGGAGCTCTCCGGCCTGATTTTCTTCATAATTTATGGTGTAAAACTGCTCTGGCACGGAATTGAACATGAGGGGCCCGGTTGAATCGTGATAACCCGTCATAGACCGAATAGAGAAGAGAATGGTTGTGCCGTGGTTAAGAGCCGCAGACAAATTTCGTTGAAACTCGGCGAAACTTGGATCGGTCAATATGGAACGGAAAGATTTAGAAACGCAGCTTAGCTTCCCACGAGATTTAGCGCCAAGTCGAACCACAATCTGGAAAAAAATGTCTCGGGGAAGAAGTGAAAAGCTGTATGAGACCTCCATGGCCATGGGTTAACGCTGTAGTAGGAACTAGGAAGATGGATTTGGTATTAGGAAGAAGCTCCCCTCTTGTTATTAGATCGGCTCATCGTCCGACCTAATCTGGCCTGAATGATGTTTTGATCCATGTTTTCCCTTTCAAATTGGCCCGAATAAAACATGGACTGAATCTGAATGTTCGGACTCATAAACAGGCCCAAAAGAGCAAAAGAGCAAAAGTAATATCGCTATTTTCACTTTTCAAAATTCTTTTCTTTTTTACTAACTAAGATATTTTCTAGTTTTCCAGAAAACTGGAAAACTAGAAAACCAAAAACAGGAAACATGTTTACCAAAGAAAATTGCTGGAAAACTGGAGAAAGGAAAACAGAAAAACACGCTTACCAAACATGTTTTCCAAAACGAAAAAATGAGACATGTCTCTCTTTCCCTTAATGATTTAAGGAAGTGACTTATACTAGTTTTCCAAATTTGAAAAACACAAATGCTACAGGTTGCTGCAATGAATTTGCATACTTACATCTAGTGGTGGGTCCGGTTTCGCTTTGATGTCGATTCCATTCCAGTACCTCTATCCTCATACCTTACCTCTTACTCCTACCCTACCCACCCCATACCTCTTTTCTCTACAATGACCCTACCCCCACCAGTTACCACATGCCCCTACCTCGGTCCCACCCCGATCCACCCTACCCTACCACCTCAACCCCACCTCGACCCACCTTAACCCTACCCCCACCTCGTATACCCCTTACCCCTACCTTACCCCTTCCCACATGCCCCCTCCCTCGGCCCCACCCTACCACCATCCTACCCCCACCCTACCGCCCACCACCATCCTACTCCCCACCCTACCCCTTCCTATCCCAACTCCCTACCCTACCTCGGCCCCACCCTACCGCCATCATATCCCAACTCCCTACACTAACCCTACCTTACCCCAACCCCAACCCTACTCACTACCCCCACCACCATCCTACTCCTTCCCCTACCTCGGCCCCACCCTGATCCCGACCTCACCCTACCACCATCCTATCCCAACTCCCTACCCTACCACTACCTTACCCCAACCCCAACCCTATTCACTACGCCCCCCCAACCACCACCCTAACCCACACAACCCGTACCCCCGGACCTTACTACCCCACCCCCATCCATACCTTCCTTCCCTACCCCGACCCCTACGAGTAGGTATGGGGGGTATGAAGGGTTTTGGGGGAGTATGGGTAGAGTGTAAGATCATGGTAAGGGTAGGGGTAGGGGACAAGGGTGTGGAATTGAGTGTAGGGTGTAGGGTGGGGGTACGAGGTATAGGGGCAGAGTAGGGGTTAGGAGAATGGGTACACGTACGAGGTGATCGACCTCACATTTTTTTTTGAGAGAAGAAACATTTAAGAAGGTTTGTTTGGACACATACCTGGGAAGACATACATTTAAGAAATATAATATGCCTTCATCCCCACATATTATATTATATATTTGTGTTCATGAATGTTTGTGTGTCTATATATGTATAGGGTTATTTTGGACATTTTAATGGTAAGCGGTCTTTTAAACCTTTTGAAGTAAACATGATCTTATAACATTGCTTATTTTACGTGTCGCTTATTAACGGGAGTCTTAATAAGCACCATTTAGTAACCCGTGAAGTAAACGTGTCAGTTTTCTGGATGATCACAGAACTGGGTGGAAAAATTGATGAACATGTTTTCAGATTTGAAAATGGAAAACTAGAAAATAGAAACAGAAAACTGGAGATAGAAAACTGAAAAATAAAAATAGGAAATTGGAGAACGAAAAACAGAAGTAGAAAACAGGAAAATATCTCTCTTAGTAAACATGCTCTTATTAATGTTCTTTCAAAAATAGACCATATACCTAACCAACCAACCTCAACCTATGCTCCAAAGAATGATGCCGTGCATGTCACGTAAGACTATCTCTTTACACTTTTCTTTCTAAAAGTATCTCTCTATAGTATTTGTTAAATTTATACAGCCTGCAAGAACTGCTCTACTCACGTTTTAAATTGAAAAAATGTAAATATTTATTAAATTGTAAAAAAAGATAATCACAAAATACTGAAAGTATAAATAATATAAGGTTTAAAATTAATAAAATAATCAAATTAAGTGAAAAGTTTAATAATGCATAATAACAAATCAAAGCTAAAAATTTGTAAACTATATATAAAAACGGAATTTCATGAGAAAAAATGTAAAAATAAATCAAAAAAATGTTAAGAAACATATACAAAATTTTCTATTGTTTTTTATTAACTTTGATTTTTTTGTTTCTTTATGTTTCCTATGATTGGTTTATATTAATAAATCCAAATTTATCAATTTAGAAGATTGAGTATGAAACTATATGTCATTTATTCACTTAAAAGAAGTAGCAAAGAGAAACATGGAGCGTGATAAACAATAAAAATCAAAATAACCTATAAATAATAAGCAACACAATGCAACAAAAGCAACACAACGTAACAAAAAGCAACACGGCGCAATAAAAAGCAACACGACGCAACAAAAAACAATACTTTAGGAGAAACCGCCATCTACCCGCCAGCAACCGCCATCTACCCGCCTTCTGCGTGTTGTCCCAACAGGAGGGATAACAGCATTCGTATAACAAGACGCTTTTGTCAACTCGTCACTTTTCTGACGACATGTTTCCTTCAACCCGTCACTCGTTTGATGAGACGACTTCGTTAATTTCCATGCAAGTAGTTTCTGATCTAATCCGTCTCTTTGACTAAAGCAATGAAGAACGAAAGCTGATCTCCTATCATCTTCCTCCGAATTTGTGCTAAGGATCATAGCTAGGTAATGCTGACGAGTTGAAACTTCATCCAGTTTGATGTCGACACTTCAGTTGGCCAAGGGAACTTCATCCGTTGCTAGAGATGACGAGTTGGGTTGCATGAACGTAGTCGAAATCCTGCAAAAACATTGAATATTGTTTCGTTTATGGTCTTAGTAATATTGCCGACATGAATATTTATGATTTATGTCAATATCGTTCGTATTGTCTCCTTATGTTTTGGAGCTTGTGTTGTCATGCTCTTGGAGCACATGCCTCTGATGTGTATTTCTGTAGTTTTGGCCAAAACATTGTGAAGAATCGTGATGTTTATACTCATGTTTAGCGTACATGAAAATCCCACTTCTTTCCCTAAGATTCTGTAAGCCCCCCGTCAATTGTGTTTTGACGTTTTTGTAAGGCTTTGTTTGATGTATCATGTATGTTAGGATTCTACCATCATCAACTGTTGATTGTTCCTGCGTAAAAGAATTTGCTAACATCGGTCGTTGGCTAGAAGCCAACGGCCCTCCGATGCTTAAGTTAGTGATCGTTTATAAGTAACGGAAAATAATAAATTTCGGATACGTATGTATATGAAACTAAATAAATATTTATCGTCAGAACATGTCTATAGTCAGAAGATTTAACTCATCTCATCTGATGATTTAAATCATCTCGTCAGGTCTATTATCGGACGATATGCCCCCCCCCCCCCCGTCCGATGACTTATATCATGTCGTCTGGTGTATCTTGTCACAGGAGTGACAACAAAAAAAAACTAAAAAAGAAATAACTTTTAAGGGTACCGTATTGCAGCTTTTCGAACCCGTCTAGGATCGGGCGACATGCCCCCCGTCTGACGACTTCGATCATGTCGTCTAATCTATCTCGTCACAGAAGTGACAACTCGTTCCTTAGGTCTCGAATATGGGTTTACATGCTTGTAATCATGCCTCCTGGGAGATTTTGATTTCCCATGCCCCCTTTGTGTTCAATTTGTCTTCGACGGGATCGCGAGTCTTCTTCTAGACGGATGAAAGCCAACGTCTTTGTTTGGACATATTCAAAGGACCGACAAGGGTATTTCGTCAGTTCGTGGTACAGCTCCGAATCTTCATACAAACCTCTTCTAAATGCTTCAATGATGGTAGAGACATCACATTTTGGGATCGACACCTTTTCCTTATTGAATCAATGTAAATAATCTCTCAAAGATTCATTCTGTCATTGGATTACTCGGTAAAAGTCACTGGTCTATTTTTCAAGGACCCGGCTGCTTGCGAATTGTTTGTTGAATAGATTGACGAGTTCTGCGAATGACTTGATTCCTTCGTTGGGCAAATTGGCGAACCATGTCAACGTTGGTCCCGTTAATGTCGTCTCATATGCTCTACATATGCAAGCTTCCCGTTGCTCTGGCCTGACTGAAATAGCCAACATCTGTTATTTTGTAACTGCAAAAGAGTGTTTGATATGAATTTGATAATTGATATATTTATGTTATGTCTAATCCTGATACTTTTTATAAACTTTAATATCGCAGGCATGTTGTTTCAAATGCAGAATAATCTTTAGAAAACACCGATTTGGTTATAGTTTTGGGGCCTTGGAAGGTTGCAATTAATGTAATATAATATTCATAAAAGGGTCCGTAATATTAATTTATTTAGATTAAAGTAGGAATTACAGGTATGCGACACAACCTCAAAGTATCATGTACGATGAACTCTTTAAACCTTTTTCTTCATTACTTTGTTGTTTTGATTTCATCGGTGTTTATGTATGAATCTCTATATAAATTTTAAACAAAACAACTTTATTCATCTTTGAGTAGTAGTAAGGAACACCTGATTAGGATTCTAATTCAGAAATACAATAGATACGTAACATTCTACTTTTGATAAATATAGATTTAGTAGAAATGTCCTTTATTTGCCCTGTCCCATAGCTTCAAACTGATGTTTTCCAGAACATAATCAACCTGAAACAAATATATATACAAATGTGTTAAAAAAATAGTAGCACTTCTATTATTATTTTTTTGATACAAAAGGCTTAAGTGAACACTCCCTGTGAACTTGTCTGAGTAAATTGGCCTAGTGATACCTGCAAAGACAAGGAAGATGTATATCCTAAACGTTTACATTAAACATAAAATTGATGTGTTTAATGTATAATGTGCAACGTATAAAAATCTTCCAAACAATTGGATGCATACATAACTTTAAACACAGTTTAACGCGTTTAAAGTATTCCCTGCAATGAAAATGAATAAGATGTTCTCTCAAAACATAGAATA